TTGGCTTTCTATAGAATATTACGTATGCATACAGTATACATTAGGAACTATGGCTGAAGAAGGTCATGATCAGTTAGGAGATTATTATTCCCTGATATTTAATTTTTCTGCCAGCATTGGTCCTGCTTAATTACAAGAAAAGCTTACTGTGCACAGGGTCTCATCCTTTCTTAAAAGGTGGTCTGTGTGTGCTATTCTCAAGTGGATTGGCTCACTACTGCCAGTAGGGGGAGAAATAAAAAGCTGAAATAGTGTTATTGCCAGACCCTTGAGCTAGGAGAAACTTGGGTGCTGGTCATAGTCTAGCCTCAGGATAAGAAAGCTTCTTTTGACACTTTTTAAGAGCTAGTGAACCTGAAAACTAACAAGGACTCAAGGACTCATTGAACACGCTCCCATTAAAAAAAAAAAAAACAACTTTCAACGCATTCTTTCTTTTATTCCTATTACAGATATACAACTGAAATTTTTATTTATATTTACCCTTGTGATATTATAAGCAATTGACATCAGCCACGTCATGCTATAACAATTGTTTAGTCAAATCATATACTTATATGACTGAGCTGGTTGACCTTCCTGATTTTCTCCCAGTTTTTATTAATGGAATATCCAGGCTGACCTCTCATCATAGGTGTGGTGAGTAACTTCTACCAGCCCTCGTGGTGCACTGTAAGGACCAGAGAGCTAACATTTGAAGGACTAGGCTATATAATACCATAGTGGTGTTATCATAATACCCCCAATCTGTTTTTGCTGTTGTTATTCTCCATTAGAAAAAGTACTTTCATCATGCAAAAGTCCAAAATAGTTTTGTTTCATTCCTCATAATGCTGTAAACATATAGAGGTGGATTTTTAACCTATTCTAACACCCAGGTATTTTCTGACCACATTACTTTTCATATTTCTTCTTTAAAATATATCTATATCCTTAATTGTCTTTTCAAAGGACCTAAACTTTTTCAAGAGAAATTTTGTGTTTTCCATGCCTATACTTTTTTTATGCTATTTATCTGTCCAAATGGATACGAGACAGCTCCCAGCATTATATAAGTAGTAAGGTTAATAAATGAGATGTTAGTACCTTTTTTCCCTCACACAATAACCAATATGTAATTTAGTACTTGTCTCAAACTAGAAACATCCCTATTCATAATTTTTTAATTGGGAATTTTGTGTGTCTCATTCCAGGTAACAAATATTTAAAAAATTATTTAGGTTTACTATTAAAAATATTTCTAACTGAAACTGAATTAGTTGTTCCCTTCAAAAATCAGAATATATTCTGTGCATTTTTTCATCTGACTGAAATAGGTAGTAGTTGAATTCATCTTACTGTAATCAGAGCTTTCATTTTTTTCTTTGCTAGCATAGCTTTTGTAAAAAATTTTTAATTTTATAAAAAAATATAATGACCTAGCTCTTGAATAGTTCTTTCAACTCCCTCTATTATGCCTTAGGCATGAAGCAGCATGAAGAGTTTTGTATTATGATATGCCAAAATTCAAACCCCAGCTCAGTCACCTTACCTAGCTGTATAGTTTTGGGCAAGTTATTTAATCTCTTTGAGATTCAATGTTCTTATCTATAAAATACAATACCTACCTTGCAAACATGGTTGGGAAATAACATATGTAAAGAAATAGCACAGCTGTTGGCACTTTGAAGTTTAGTAAATCATAACTATTTTTGTTGTTACAGTCTCACCCCTAAATAATATAAAATACATGAACTGTATTTTCCTTTCGTTTTATGAATGATTTTCATATTCAAAATATCTTACAGAAAGGAAGTAATTCAAAAAAGGAGTTAGGAGGACTGAGTTTTGATAATGATTCTGGCTTCATCACTCATTAAGTAAATCAGTAATTAAAGACCTAGCCTGTACCAGGTACCCTGCTAAGACTTATATTCTTGAGAAAGCCACTCACCTTTTTCTGGACCTGTTTCATAATTGTGATTTACTAGATAGTAATTCCTGTTTCATCTACTTCATGAGCTATTGTGAGAATCAAAGGTGGTAATCAAGAAGAAAACCCCTTGAAAAGCAAATGGTACTATATAAAGAAATGAACTATATTATTATAGAAAACACTATAATATCCCAGAGATAAAAATTATTAGATCATATGTGATGGAGCTTTGAAATAATCCCTGCTCAGAGCTCTTTCCTAAAACAAGAACAAAGAGGGAAACTAGCCAGATATTCTTTTAAGAACTTTCCTAAATGTGTCTTTTAGAGAGTTTATGTGGCTTAATATGATAAAGTTATTGATAATAAGTATTTGTTTACTATAAAAGGCTGATTTTTTTAATCCTATCAGTATACAGAAAGAATGTAAAGTACTGTATTTTTATATTACTTGTATAATTGTAAAATAATAATTTCTTTTAAACAAGGAAGGTCATAGAGGGCTACTTTAGGCAATTACTCCAAGTGAAATCTACTCCCAGCCAAAAGACCAAGCATATACACTAAGCCAGCCTCATGAGGAGAGGTGAAAAGTAACCAAAGACAGCTCCCAAGAGGCATTTCTCACCTCAGGGTCCAGAACTGTAAAGGCTGAGTGGGCGAGGATGAACCTGGAGGACATTTTGCCACGTGAAATAAACCAGACACAGAAAGGAAAATACTCTATGATCTCACTTATATGTGGAATCTAAAAAAGTCTAACACATAGAAGCAGAGAGCTGGATGGTAGCTACCAGTGGCAGGGAGGTGAGGGAAATGGGGAGGTATTGGTCAAAGAACACAAAGTTGCAGTCATGTAGGATGCATAAGTCTAGAGACCTGATGGTCTAGCATGATGATTATACTTAGTAATACTGAATTAAACCCTAGAAATTTTCTAAGAATAGATCCCAGTTTTTCTGACCACACTGAAAAAATGGTATCTCTGTGAGAAGACATATTAATTAACTTGACTGTAGTAATTATTTGACTATATATATATGTATATTGCATCTTCATGTTGTATAGCTTAAATGTATAGTTTTTATATTAAAAAAAGAAAAGGCTGACAGGGCAAATGTCATTTCCTGACATACTCCTAGCTTCTGAAAGTTTCCAGCCAAGCTAGATGTATGGTTCTACTTAACAGCCAGGAACCATTACCTATCACCGTCATGCTCTGTATCAGCCCTACAAACTCAACCTGATGAATCATAATTGTTCTTGTCTGAGGATACAACGCCTGCCATATTAAAGATCAATGTCTAAGACATTGTTGGTTTACAACTTAGACAAATGAAATAAAAATGAATAAAAAACCTAAAACCTAAACTCAACCAGGGCAACAAACATCTCCAAATACTTTGGAGTACCTTGCATAGGAATAACTAAGTTCTAAACTTTTAAAAAATTTTTTATTCATTTCATGTCTACACTGAAATATTGTCAACCCTTGGTTAAAATGTCAAAGAAAATCACTCAGCACTGCGGCCACTAGTCACTTCTAATCTATATTAATAGTTTTCAAGCTTTTGGATTTCACAAAGAAGACAATTTACAACCACGAAAACTTGTAAGGTCATAATTTCAGAGTAAAAGACCTTTAAATTGAAAACACTTAACTCTAAGAAACACTCACTATAGTGCGTATGTTTTTTGTTTGTTTGTTTATTTTTTGTTTTTCCTTCTTAGACCCGGAGAAACTCTAGTTATGTAATCTATCCCAATCAAGGACTTCTTTAGCTTTCTGCTTGTTGGTTGGGATGAGTCTCAGGCATGGCCCTACTGGTACCTCTAGTCCAGTGTGCCTTGATATCTGCCCAGGCACCTGAGAATAAGATTTCCAGGAACTGGGAACACACTCCAGCACATTTTGAGTTTAGATAGAGCTTTTTTAATAGACTGTCTTTATCACCATCCAGGACACTTTTCTAGTGTTCATCTCAACTAAAAAACTAGGGTGAGCAGCAAATTGGGGCAGTGAAAAGAGGGATAGAATAAGCATTAGAACAGTGAAAAGGGATTAGTTTCTAAACTATAGAAACACATCTTAGAATAGAGAGTTACATTTGATAAGATGGAATTTCAGATAATTCTACTTAATATAGCATGACTGTATATCTTTCTCATATTTCTTTCTTTACTTATATTTCCCAATATGTTTATATTATTTTATTTCATTATAGTCTATGGCACGCCAAACACATTTTTAGCTTGTTTTACCCTTTTTTCTATATTTTTTTTCCCAGGGGAGTAAAAATGTCACACATACACACATGCACATGTATACACTCATCAAACTTATATTACCAAACTTTTACAACCCTACACAGGTACTTTGTCATCTCAGAGAACTTTTGGACATACCCACTTTAACTATAGGGTGTTTATTTTCTGTCCTATTTTTATTAGAGATCAAAGCCTAAACATGTGACTAGATAAAAACTGAAATTTCAGAATCATAAAATGTTGACTTATATTTTGCTTTAAATATTTAAAGGTGACCTGGATAAAATCCGTTTTGTTCAGCTTTCTAAAGTCAATGATAACGAGTTAGAAACGATTAATCATCAGCTCATTGTAATGTACCATCACTCTTATTAATACTACAAATATCCTATAAGACATATTTTTACATATGTGAAGTGTAGGTGAGCAGTATTAAGACTGACATATCACTAGGGTAATAGCTGACTTTCATCAGATTTGGATGTACTACTAGGATGAATAATAATTAAAATATATACCTAATCGCTGCCTGTCTGTCGGTAGTGCTAATTGCTGTCATTGAAAAGACTGAATTGTTTAAGAAAGAGAGAGAGAAAGAGAAAGTCATTCTTCATTGAAGCTATCTCCCTGTATCATTGGGAGCCTATTTTTAGTACCTATAGAAGTCATGATTTTTTAATTTATTAGGGGCTGTGATGAATGATGAAACAAATCATCCATTTACATATCTTGACACTGCTTTGGAGAATACTTATTTCTTACAAGCAAGTGTCACATTGTATATAAAAGCTGGCTAATTGTGCGCTAATCTTCTGCATTATCTAGAACTCTCTGATGTAGTATTCTATCAGTAGTAATATTAATTTTACTTATTGCAAATGTATGAAATATCTTCTAAAACCCTATTTCTTTTATGATTTTTGCTCTCTTACATTGTATAATTTTGCATTCAGCTGCTAATTAAGATTAGGAATGCAAGTTAAGAATACGGATCCACTTTAAACCATCAAGCTTTTATAATACATGAAAATACTAATATTTTATCCATTTTAAATGTAAAAGGAGAGAAAGCATTTAAGAACATTACTAGATGTTGTGTTTGTTTTCATGGTTTTTTCCACACAGTTCAATAGTTTCATTGATCTACTGTTTCTTACAAAAATCTGCCATGCTTTGTGAACTTCACTTTCTAATCTCATACAGCAACCCTTCCTTTATGTTATTCCTGCTCTCCCTGGTCCCAGAACAGTAGGGTTGCCTTGACAAATCTATTCAAAAGCCATTCCTCGGCCTTTATTGGTGGGGACTGGGGCCTTTGAAATTCTCTCCTCACTGCAACACAGCTGACATCTTCTTCCAGACAGAATGAATTAAGGAAACACAATAAGACACTTGATCTACCAGTCAAGGATCTTTCCACAGTGAAGACGGATTCCATGGTGCACAACCAGGGCAGCAAGCATCTAAAAATACACAATACATGGTTGTTTACCAGAATAGCAATCAGCGATTTTCTCCAACGTGATTGATAGGATGATTTCTTTTTAAACAAAATCTGTCTAGAAATTCAGTGTGTGTGTGTCTGTGTGTGTGTCTTTGTGTGTCTTGGAAAATTTTTAAATTCATATATGAGGTTAATTACATTTTTTAAGCCAGACTTCAAATATAGACTTAAAATGTATGGAAGGGATATAGATTATCTTTATTTCATAGTCTGAGTTGTAAATCATCATTATCTTAGAGGTTGATTTTTATTTAATATTGAAGGCTTTGTATCCTCAAACACACAGCTACAATTCATCAGATTGTGGGGTTTTTTTAAACTATTTATTACAGCCTCCATTGAACCAGGCTGAAATAAAAATTAAAAGATAGTATAACTATATAGGCCACATTTTGAGGAGTAATTACAAAATTTATTTCTTCTAATATTACAAAGACAAATAATATAATTTTAAAACATAGCTGTTTCTTTACATGCTCAAAATAATATCTGTTTTCATCTAAAAGTTAAAAACTGACACATTTTTCAATTTCCTTTAATTATAATCCTAGCCTTCTCTTAGAAATATGTTGCATCATATTCACAGAAAGTCACGTCTTCTTAATATCAGCACAGGTGATTTGCTAAATTGTAGAAGATAAACTTTTTTCCTTCCACAGGCTTGTCGGTCATGAGTAATTATTAACTGTTTACATAAGAAAATGGTCTTCAGTATATGGAAAATAAATTGAATATGCTTCTAATGGTATATAATATAGGATAAATTATTCTCTACAGCCTAAAAAGTTGGTCTCCGCTTAAATTATGTTTCAATAGAAAATTCTCTCTGTTGCATTGCAGAACTGTTGTAATTGGGTCTCGAGCTCAGAACCGTTAGACACATCAGTGGAGTCCATGCTGCCTGACTGTCCCCGAGTCTCAGCAGGTATGTGTTGGTTGAGAGATGTACGAGTTTTTTTTTTTTAAGGTGAAAAAATATGATTATGAAATATGTCATTCTATTTTGCGAATTAAGCCTGTTGTTCTGCTTTGAATCTTAAATGAATTATCGGTAACATACAACATGAATCTGATCTACTACCAGAAGTTTGTTAAGTAGCTGAAAATGCTTACCAAAAAAGACAAGTAGGTGAAACAATGTGAGAGTAATGTACACATTTGCTATTGAAGCTTAGGGAGACAAGATGTACATTAAAAGAAAGAATTTCATTATAAGACAAGGACTAGATAGCCATATAGGATCTCAGAGTATTTGTCTCTGACTGAATACCAACTCAGTGTTACAACAGGCAGTAAAGTCTGTGAGTTCAGAAAAAAAGAGATTACTGTGGCCTAGAGTCTTTAGAAAAATTTTTCTTGCAAAAACTTTTGGCTGGACTTCGTATGTTAAGGTTTGGAGTGTGGGAAGACGTGCAAGATGGTATTCTAGGCAAACGGAACAGAGCAGTGTAAGGGGTCAGGACCTGGATGGATCAGAAGGCATCCACAGGCCTGCTGGTTCAAAGCAGAGGAATGAAGTGGTAAACATCTCACACGGGCACCAGACAGTGTAAGGATGGCGCTGATTTCCATCCCATAGGTGTTGTACTTTTGTCCCTATTCCCTAGGTAAGAGGAGAGGGTAACATTTTTCATTGCTTTCTAGTTTTTGTTTTCATAATTCCCACCCAATTTTGATGGTAAACACAACTTGAGCAATGATATCTGGTTATAGCTACAGAACAGAAGTAGGCTTGCTTTGGCCATGTATGCCAGAAGATGAGCAGAAGTTTTGAACATAAACTACTCCATATAATACTCAGAGAAGATAGCAAATCACTACATAGAGTTGCAGATGTGTTTATGCATTTGAAGGAAATAATTTGGAGAACAGTTTAAATACTAGGTACAGAACTATTATACCAAATTTCATTTATCATTAATACCTAAACTTGAACCGAGCTTCACTGTCATGATAGCTAAAATTTTCAGGTCTGTCAGAAAGGTTCAATCGCAGACATAAACCACTAGGAAATATATATGTCATAATATATATACCTATGTATATGTGTGTATGTGTATATGTGTGTACTATACAATTGATTTTCTTTCTTAGCAGTAGTTGTGTTATATAAAGTCACTATGAACAAAGAATTAGTGAATACTGAATCTTTACTCCTAGGGGAAATACAGAGTTGGGTTCCTGCAAGCCTCTGGCCACAACTTTTTCGTTGACCGATCAGTCTATAACCATGTTTTATGAATGTTTCTCTTTAAAGAAACTTTAATATATATAGTTGATTTACTAACAGTGAACTCAGCCAACAGCACTGTAACTCATGCCTGAATGAAGCTTATCTAACACACTTATTTTCTCCATAAGACACATCAGTCTTCTTGTGCTTAGGAACACTAGACAGCACTATACTTAGGGATCATTTCAAACTGTGCAATTACCGAAAAAAAGCACAAAAATGTGAAAAACCTAGCAAAAATAGTTGTTTATGGTATGAGAAGTGAAACAAGAAGGTGAAGCATGGCTTCATCACTGTATACACGCATGTCTGCAAATGACTGCAAAAGCACCAGGAGTATTGATTTTGGGGCTTACAAAAACATTTTAGTAAGTAGATGAATTCACAAATACAGAACCCACAAATAATGAAGATTGAGTGTGTGTGTGTGTGTGTGTGTGTGTGTGTGTAGTAAAGTAAAGTATTTATTTCAGAAATTTGACCAGAGCAGGTTAAGCAGTCTTCACAAGAATGCTGACTTTGCATTCGATGCTGGAACTTGAGTTTACAGAGCAGACAGTTGTTAAGGGAAGATGGATATAAAGTGGCAGAGAGCAAGAATGAGCTAGAACCCTTAAGCATGAGCTGGAGCCCATGAGGATGGAATTAATAAACCCATGTCAGTTCTTGTGGTTTCTATCCTTGGTGGTGTGGGTGTCCTATAAAAGCCCTTTGTCATGGAGCTAACTGCACTCACACCCAGCCCAGGAGTCAGAGATGCTGAAGGTGAATCCGGGGAAAGGTAGAGTAGACACAACCTTGGCCACTGCCTCATGCCACCATGTGAGCCATCATGTAAACAACAATATGTATGAGCTAAAAATGGCTGCAGCTTCACTTTAACTCTCCAAATTTCCCACAGAACTCTCTCTCTTGGGTACCATCCTAACTAGAAATATGCAGTTTAAAAAGAAATTCTGGGAAATGTAGTTCAAACTAGCCAAACTGACACATTACAGATTCTTCACAGTCCACCCTTTGTCAACTTGGCACTCATATTCATCTCTTTACACCAAGCTTAATCTCTAAATAAAGACATAAAGTTGTGTTTTCACCTAACATGACATAACTAACCCACGTACAACCAAAAACATACTAACCCTTTTCCCCAGAAGAGTAGATACAAAGTCTCCTTATTATCTTCAGCTAATGTCCATTCTTCTTACCTTTGGTATCTTATAATTTAAATTCTGAGAGATAAAGCTAATTGCTAATGACACGTTTTACATGAGATGATAAGGGAATAAGAGAGGAGAAGAAAATGAAAGTATTTAGTATATATATATTCATATTGAAATAAGGAAGAAATCCTTGTAACTATTACATTCCTCATTTTTGCAACTGGTCATGAAGTTGTAGCTGGTATTTATAACTACCTTCATTCTATAGTCCCTTTGCTCTCAGCAAGCACCTAAATTGATCATGGTTCCTTGCCTGGTGGGATAACCCTTGCCTAGAGGGATGACCCCATACCTTCATTTCTGAAAGGTCCAGCCTGTCTGAGTTAGATTGTTATAGTTTTCTCTTGACATTAGTCATAGGGTGTCTTAGAGGATTTCCTGTGTAGTAGACATACTCCACTCTACCCCTATTGTGTAGTAGCAACTCAATTTTCCCTCAGTAATCAGGATCAGTCACCACAGCCAATAACGAGAAATGCTCTCCATCTTGTTAATTCAGTGATAAAAGGAGCCTAAAGTGGCAAGGTGCAGTCTCAGCTTCATTTGAATGGAATCATTGTTGTTTCACCTGAAAGAAGCATTCCTTCCGATGGAACTAAGACCTTGAAACCAGCAGAGCCTAAAGTCATGGGAATGGGAAGCAGCACTTTTGCTAATAGACCGCTGAAGGTAATAAGAAGAAAAGCCAGTCCCATTTCCACCCTTTTGTTCCCAGATCTGAGAGAAATAGGACAGTATATTAAATGCTGATTTAGAGCAAATACCACATCCTGGAAGACAGTGTCTCAGTTCAACAAGGTGTCGTGTGGCACCGTAACTGGATCATCAAAGTCATTCCACCATTCTGTCAAGCCTGCTGCTTAAGGATAATGGGGAGCATGGTAAGACCAGTGAATGTTGGCAGACCTTAGGCTCTTTCTTTTCCTCTCACTTGTTCTCGCTGATGGAAGCCAGCTGCCTTGTCGTGAGCTGCTTTGTGGAAATGCTCATGTGGTAAGGACTGGGTTCTCTGCAGAGCCAATGAGGGCCTGAAGCCTGCTAACAGCCACATGAGTGACCTTGGAAGATCACGTCCCATTTGAGTCTTGAGATGATTACATCACCTTGACTGTAGCCTTGTGAGAGACCTTGAGCCAATTACCCAGCTAAGCCATGTTCAGATTTCTGACCCACAGAAACTGTGAGTGATAAATGAGTATTGTTTTAAGCTGCCAAGTCTTGGGGCGATTTGTTCCACAGCAGTAGATAATTAATACAACAGGCTTAAACTTCAACTCTGGTGGTCACTCAAGCCTAAGAAGAAGCAACCTTAACTTTTTTTGAGGCTAGAGCCTTACAAGGCTCATTTTTGCTCAGATACTTTAGAATTTAAGAGCAACTCTTTCTAAAAAGGCACTAAAAAGTTCATTGAAGACAATTCATTTCAATACTTACTCCCCACTACCTCACTAGACTTTGCCGTACAATTTATTAGAGATAAGATATTAAGTTTCTTCATCACACTCATTTGATCTTACATTAAGTGTCTCTCTATTCATCTTTTCTCTAACCAAATTTTTCTTAGGACAGAACTTGCTACTCTCTATAACTTTCTATTCCCTGTGAGTTTTTATTCCAACAAATTTAGCTTAAGTCAGGAGATTTTATATACAATCCCCAGCATATTTCTCAAATATTTATTGAGCACATATTATGTTCCAGGCACTGGACATATCAGTTGGCAATAGCTTATCATGATTATCTTCCTTCATCTCCCCAAAAAAGAATGTTTTCCTGGCCCTCTACTAGTGGTTAGGTTCCTCCTTTTTAAACTGGCATCAACATTAGTTTGCATCAGATGAGAAAAGAGTTATAGCTGGCACCTACAGCATTCTCCATACCTACTTATAAAAACTGAACGGATTTTCAGTCAAAAATCAGTGATTCCCTCCCACCCCCAAAATCAGTGATTTCCTTCAAAAGGTCCTTAAAAAATGTTAACAAAGGATCAAAATGGAATTTTAAAGAAGATTAATTTATTAAGTGGGTAAAAGAGAGGAGCAAGAAGCTAGAGACAGGAACTCAGCAGGCTGTGATAATAAAGCAAGTATATGAGGTTGATGGCATGAACTGGAGTGGTGACAATGGGAACAGAGACGATAGGAGAGCTGTAACCAGTATGACTCAGGAAACTGCACTCGATGATAGTTTGTACTCAGAGGCTAAGGGCAAAGGAGGAAACAACGTTAACTTCCAATGAAAAGTAACTAGGATAATGAAAATATTATTACCGGAGGTAAAGGGGAGCTGGAGGAGAATATCAGTTAAGGACAAAAGATGATGAAATTATTTTATGATCTACTTAATTGAAGTGATAGCACGTAGATAACAGGAAATTCAAATAGAAATAACCAAAGGTTGCTGAAGTACCTTCAAAACACCTGAAATTCTCTGATCAATAGTCCTGTTATCTATAATTTAGAATGTTACTAT